AAAAGGATATATTGCGCAAACAGGGAAGGCTGCCATCTGCAAACCAAGGGAGAGGCCTCAAGAAGGCACCTTGACCTTGGCTTCATTTTTTTTTTATCTTTGAGGACACGAGCTCCTCGGCTTTGTTTGCCCAGGCTACGAGTGAGTGCCGTGGCGTCGCCCCTAGCTCACAGCAACTCCAACTCTGGGGCTCAAGCGATCTCCTTGCTCAGCCCTCCCTACGTACTGGGACTACAGGCATGCGCCCACCATGCCCGGCTAATTCTTTTCCTATTATATTTAGGTTGGACAAAAAAATTAGTTGCGCTAATTTTTTCTATATATATTAGTTGGCCAATTGATTTCTTTCTATTTAATAAGTAGAGATGGGGTCTCGCTCTTGCTCAGGGCTGGTTATCGAACTCCTGACCTTGAGTCGATCCTCCCGCCCCCCGGCCTCCAAGAGAGCTAGGATGACAGGCGTGAGCCACCGCGCCCGGCCCCTTGGACTTCCACCTCCAGTGATGGGAGGGAGGCCAGGACAGCGCGAAGTCATGGGGTGGCCCTGCCCAGGGGCTGCGGGTGGGTGAGGTGACGTCCCCCCTGCACCACGCACACACACACACACAAGAAACACACACAACCACACGCACGCCACACCACGCACACACACACGCACCCACACACCCACACCACCACGCCACAGCACACGCACGCACACCACACACCACACCCTGGCACGCGCTGCACACAACACACCCGGCCCCACTCACAAAAAAAAAAAAAAAAAGGAAGTCCAAGGTCAAGGTGTCCTTCTGAGGCCTCTCTCCTTGGTTTGCAGATGGCAGCCTTCCCCTGTGTCTGCACGTGGCCATCCCTCCGCGCCTGTCTGTGGCCGAACCTCCTCTTACAATTTTTTTTTGGATTAGTCTTTTCGGATTAGAGCTCTCCCTAATGGCTTCATTCATTTTACCTTAATGACTTTTCTGTTTTTATTTTTATTTATATTGATTTTTTTTTTTTGGGAGATGAGGTCTCTGTTGCCCAGGCTGGAGTGCAGTGGCGTCATCGCAGCTCACTGCAGCCTCCAACTCCTAGGCTCAAGCGATCCTCCTGCCTCAGCCTCCCGAGTAGCTGGGACCACAGGCACGCTGTTAGTGACCTTTATCAAGACTTTATCTATACCAACTGGGTGCTGTGGCTCACGTCGAACCTCAGCACTTTGGGAGGCCGAGGCAGTAGGATCATTTGAGACTAGCCTGGGCAACACAGCAAGACCCCATTTCTACAAAAAAATAGAAAACTTAGCCAGGCATGGTGGCAAGCGCCTCTCCCTAAGCACCATGTCCTCAAGGCCCTTCCGCCTGGTAGCCTGTGTCCAAATTTCCTCCCTTTCTAAGGCTAATATTCTTTTCTATTGCAATCCTTTTTATTTATTTTTTATTTTATTTTATTTATTTATTTATTGAGACAGAGTCTCACTTTGTTGTCCAGGCTAGAGTGAGTGCCGTGGCGTCAGCCTAGCTCACAGCAACCTTCAACTCCTGGGCTCAAGCGATCCTCCTGCCTCAGCCTCCAGAGTAGCTGGGACTACAGGCATGCACCACCATGCCCGGCTAATTTTATATATA